AGAGAGAGAGAGAAAGAGAGAGAATTTTCCGTTATTGGCATCAAGTGTGGGGAGTGGAGGGGGTATTATGCTTTCCTACTTGTTGGATAGAAAACCTTGTTGGTTTGCTCTAGAGGAGCCTAGTCTAGGCCGTAGGATTTTTCATCCTTCTGTATTTCTTTTTCTTGCAATCAAACAGAATCTCAGACTTATTATTATCTTTCATTTCCTTCTATTTCTTTTGCTTAATCTGTGGTGTGGATCTGTATTAGTATTCACTCCCATCAAGATTGAGAAACTCCAAGAGTGAATACCGGTGGGAATTCTTCTTCAATCCTATTAATATGGGAATGAAGCCAAAAATGGAACAATCATTTTCAACTAGGAAAAGGACCTTAATCATTGTAGTTTGCATTGCATTCCAGATAATAAGTGCTAAAGGAGGGAAAGATGTTGAAGGATCAAGATATCAACAACAAAGATTACACTGTCCATGCAAGTATCGATGAAGTATCCAAACCTATGAATCACAAATACTTTTATGATGAGAATGATTTATAATTTTTTTATTTTGGCAATGTCCAAGAAATATGATTGGTTATTTGGGTTAAAATCTTTATATACATACAAGTGTATCTTGCTCTACCTTCTTAAAATCTATTCTGGGCGAGTTTAAGTACAGTTATAATCTGCCATGTCAAAATTCTAAAGACTTTAATGATGACAATGATTTATAATTTTTTTTTTATTTTGGCAATGTCCAAGAAATATGATTGGTTATTTCGGTTAAAAGCTTTATCGACATACAAGTGTATCTTGCTCTACCTTCTTAAAATCTATTCTGGGCGAGTTTAAGTTCATTTATAATCTGCCATGTCAAAATTCTAAAAGACTTTCATCCCATAAAGCACTTTGTTCTAATATTGGTGTCATCATATTTCTAAATCCTTAACTTTATAACGTACAAGCAAGAAAGTAATTGTTATGACTTAAAGTTCACTCCCAGACAGAACATCAAGACAATGCAATGAAGTCTACCCCTTCGCTACTATGTTCAACACAGAAAATTCTCCGTCCTGCATCTAGCAGCAAAAATAAAATAATACACAATACCTGAAAATGAATTTCAGTAAAACGAAATACCTGTCACTAGTCCTGAACACAGCCCCAGCATTCTCCAGCAAAATCTTCAGCAACTCCAGAGCCACGATCTTCCCCTTCATCAACTGCGGGTCTCCTACCGCCTCCTTTGGAGGCGTCTTCATGGACAACTTACAAAGCGCCCTAAACACCAAAAAAGCATCTCTCCTCAACTTATTCCCAATCTGAACCTCTAAATCATCGTCCCTCTCCACCACTTCCCCATCCACAAGCTCCCCCTTCCGTCCCTCTAACGCCGTCTTATACATACTAATCTCCCAATACTTAGCATCCAACATGTCTTTATCAGTAGAATCCAACAAGTCAGTAGGGTTCGTAGTCTCCACCGTGGTGGTCTCGAACGCACCGTCGTGCCCACCTAGCAAATTAACCTTCCCACTTGGCGCCGTAGGGTTCAAAACGCCGTCAATGTCCTGCATTATCTTCGTTATAAAGCCCTGCACAAACTGCGTCATTGAATTGTCTTCATCGGATTTCTCTGCAGGCTCCATCAATTCCGCCACTACGATCGGTTGAATCGGCACAGTCGAGGAATCCGCCTCCATGCGACGGAACACGATCACCAGCATTTGGATCAACGACGCCTTCGCGGTCGTTTGATTCACCACATTGTTGCTCACGAGATATATATCGTAGCAGGTTCGCACAATGAGAAGCAAGGAATCACCGTGGATGCGGAGCGAAATTGACGTCACGGCGGAGAGCAAGGTCTTGAGGACCAGTAACTCCATCGCATCGTCGCCGAAATCGTGACATTTGCAGACCGATTCAATGAGCTTGGACAGGAGCTTCGCCTCCGGCGCCGCAGCACCGGAGGCCGGCTCCGCCTCGCCGCGGATGAAGCCATGCGCAATGAGCTTCTGGATGGCGTCCACGGCGGGATCGGCGATCTTGAGGACTCCGGAGCCGGCAGCATTGATGAGAGGCATGAGGATTGACTCGGACTCTGCCAAGGAGAACTCCAACGGACCTCCGTCATGGAGCGGACCAGGAACGTCCGGTTCATTGTCGGAGGGAGATCCCGGCGTCGGAAAATGCTGGTGCTGGAGGCCGAGCCTCTCAATGACGGATTTGCACTCATGAGTGAGTTTGGCATGCTTCCGCCACGACGCGTTCTTGATTATCTTCTCAAGCGCGGGTACCACGACCAGCCTCAGACGGGAATAGGCTTCCGAAGAAGCCATTCCCGAGCTCGGAGCGAGTTGCGACTCGGCTACGTCGCGGAGGTTGAGATCTTTGACGGGAATCCAATGCGGACGCGTCTACACTACGATGTCGGAGCCATGAGCTGCGAACTCGGCTGAATCTTGAAGGTGAAAAAGAAATAGTTAGTGAACAATGTTGAACGATCTGAATTTCAGAGAACAAAACGTTACTTGATGTTTGAGCTTCTGAGATCGTTTTTGGGTATGCGAGGTTCCTCACTCTCAGCATGAATTGACAAAAGAACCCTTCGTTAGTTATGACGTTACGGGATTATTGGACGTAACGAGACGGAGAACGAAAGGGTAGTTATGTGTTTTCAACTATCTCAGATCACCGGAGACGTTGAAAATCTTTTAATTATTGTTCTTCTATTCTTCCTTCTTATAAGGATAATATTTTATCTCAGGATTCTTTTGTCATTAACTACTTTATATTTACATTAAAAAAATACTTAATAATATTTAATCACTTTAAGTATTATATTACAATTTTGAAAAGGTTGTAAGAATTGAATTTGAACCCGCCACACTGTTATAAAAAGCGTGTGCAACATTTTGACATTTGAGAATTGGTAATAAAATTATCTGTGGAAAAGCTTCATGATTATGTCAGACAAACAAATTATCTATTGCTGTCAATAATGACTGGACAAGATAATATATATATATATATATATATATATATATATTATCATAAAATTTTAAATTAAATAATACAACAATTTCTTGCATAATATTTCATTTTTATTGAATTTATGAAAAATATCCTTTCCGAACACCCATAAAAAAGTTTTACATGTTATCTTTCCAAAATCTAATAAAAAATTGATATTTATATTTTTCTAATTAACTTATTCTAAATTATTTTATATTTTAAAGTAAAAATATTATTTTATTAATGTTGAAAGGGTGTTAAATGAAAAATTAAGTATTTATATATCATCACCCTGAAAATATACTACTATTTTTATTTTATGAGGTGTTTATGTGATTCTTTTTTCTAATAAGATTTTCATGGTGGTACTTATGATGTGTTTACTTTAGAGAAAGCACTTGTAACAGTGAGTAGATGAATTTAGAAGATTTGAGGATGAATTAATTGTTGTTTATTTGAGTGGATTTAGAGGCAAGTGAGACTCAATTTAAAAGTAAAGTTGCTGAGAATTAATTGATAAAAATTGAAGATTACTAAAATGTTCCTAGTTATTAAAGTAATATAAAATGATAAATGTTAATTTTATATTTAATTGTAAAAATGTTTATAAAGAGTAAAAAATTATCATTAATTATTAAAATTAATTTTAAAAATGTACAAAAATTGTAATTTAGTAAAATGAATTTATTTTTAAATGTAATATTTTTGTAATATAATTTACTACCAAGTGATATGATTTTATTTGTTATCGAAGTGAAATTGAATATTTTTGAAGGTGATGGTGGTATGTAAAACTTTCATCTTTCTTGTAAGTATAAAACTCAAAAATATTGTCTTGAATGAGAAAACGTTGGTCAAGGATAATACAGACATCTAAACATGAGAATACAACCAGGGTAAGATGCTACAGAAAAGAAAGAAAGCTTGAATTTGTTGTTTATTAATTCACACCAAATTGTCTTATCTATCGGTGAACAAAATCTCAAACTAATAGTAACTTTTTCATATCCTACTTTCCTTTGCTTATAGAAAACACTCCATTTTAACAGAGGAAAATAATTATCAAAATAACAAGGAGAAGTACGAAACTGAAAATTTCAATCATCTATGAATGCATCACTATTGTATTCTATAAACTACAATCAAATGTCTACGACAATAAATAAGAACAATGACCTGTTTGAGTTTTCCTACATGGTTTAGGTTGTAGTTGCAGCACCTGTTTGTTTCTTAGGACATTCCAAAAAACCATGTCCTTGCTCACTACATTCACAACACGTCCTTCTCTTCATCTTGCCACTTACTATGGAGCTTGATTTATCACCATCCAACCCAATACGCAAAAACTTGGTAGAACCGAATACATGGAGGTGTAACCAAATACACTCCTCTACTTCCCAATATAGGAGTTGGGAATCGAATAACGTTGTTTGGGAACCGAATACACAACAATCGTGCAGGGGGAAACTGAATACACAACGAGGGAATCAAATACACCCCTTTCGCTTTTGACTGCCAAGAGCGGAACCGAATACCCCTCCAAACTTTTGTTTGATATAATGCAGTACCTTTATTTTCTGCTACACATAGCTGCCCATGTGACGAGGTCAACTTTGTGGTGAACTGATGTTTTGTGGGTTGAGAGCAAGCTCATCTCAAAGGTAATGTATTTTTGTGAGATGCCAAGTTATTGTTGCAGGTTGGAGGCATGTCGTTGGAGCTGAAGACGAAGACGAAGAAGGGTCGGTGTCGGTGTATGGTTGATGTTAAGGTTGATGGATGGAGATGAAGATTTGTTGAAGAAGATGAAGATCAGAAGCGGCGTATTCTGTTATGG